CTGAAGCCTGCCTTTCCCCAGGTGGAAGGAAGCATCCAGAGCACACTGCACAAGGCACGAGCGGATTCATTCTAGCATGTTCAGCACAGATGGGTTTGCTGTGAATAGGCACATTCTTAGCTCCTTTGTTCTCACCACACCCTGGAACCCCACAGTCAAGGCAGCAGACCCAGAGCCGGGAACCTACAGGGCTGCCGTCCACTCCCAGAGTAAGGAGTATGCTGGGGGACTGCTGAACGTGCTGCTCCCTGCATCTAAGATGGTCCAGGCCAGAGGCACCCGCATGCAGGAAGGCGGGCGTTTCCATCCGCTGCCACGGCCACCTGGCTTTCTGAGCACGTCAGCCCGCTCCCAGCCTAGAAAGGCTGCTCAACACCGATCTAATTCCCAACACGGGGAAATGTGACTTCTCATAATTTGAACAAGTCTCTCCAAGAACCTCACCTCTGGCTGAAGCACCGCTCTCTCTCCCAGGCTGTGTTTGAATCCTAATTGAGAGTTCAGTTTGAAGAAGGGCCCGACTGCTCCCTCTGGCGCTATAGGAAACTCTTACCTCAGGTGATGAGACAATTAAGGAGCCCACGCCAGGATTGGGCCCTAGCCTGGGCTGCTCTCATTCCAGGGCAGAGCTCAGAGCTCTGCTCTGGGCAGCAAGTGACTCTTCAACACAGCAATCCGTGCATTGCCATTGCTCCGGGTGAATGGTAAAAATGAAATGGCATGTCCTTCGGACATGTTGTCAAGAGAGACCATTCCCCAGAGACGGACACCGTGCTTGGTAAAGGAGAGCGCCGGCAAAAGCCAAGAAGTCCAGCGACAAGATGAACTGACCCGGTCACTGCATCGATGGGCTCAAACATAAGAACCATGGTGCGGACGGCGCGGGCGGGCTGCCTTTCGCTCTGCTGTACATGGGGTGGCCATGAGTTGTACAGTGAACCCTCGCCACTTCGCGCTTCGACTTCCGCGGCTTCACTCTATCGCGGTTTTTGCGTAACCGCGCATGCTCTGTGATTACTGCCACCGATTGGCTCATACTGTACACGCTTGATGCCATAAATAATATAATAAATAATAAATGATAACTGTAACGTCCAAAATGTTTTACTGTATTTTCCCTTTTTCGTTTAATAAA